TCATGCATAAAGCCTCAGGGTACAGAATTTTAATTCATTTTGCTCTTTGTGCAATGTAAAGTTCCTCTTAAGGAAAGTACAATCATCCCTTCTAGTTCTGATGCTTCAGCATGACTGCCCACGCTTACGTGGTCATAACAGCATCACCCACACACAAGAGGGAGATCTCGGCAAGCTTAGGTGAACTGCAAGGTTGTGGGAAATACAAAAAGTCCTTAGGGGAACAACACCCAAAACAGGTAAGTCTCAAGCTGGCCAAGTGCAGACTGAGTCCGCCAAGTAGCCATGGGATGTTGACTGATCATTGAAGAAGAAGAAAAAGTGAGTGAGGCTGAAACAGTGAAGAGGAGACCTCTCCAGCATTTTATTGCAGGTTCCACTTGGTTTGTGAATTTATTTATTTAATATCCCACCTTTTTCCTACAAGGAACCCAAGTCAGCTTAAATAATCCTCCTGCTCCATGTTATCAACACAACAACCCTGTGAGGAGGATTAACAACTCTAAGACAGGTTTCTTCAAGCAGGCACAGACAACTGTATCCCAGCCCATCTGTTTAAACAAGAGAAGCAGCTTGCCTGCTTTCCTGCCCAGAAAGTTCCTGATCCTCCTACCAAGATTTGCACTGGCTACTTTACGACTCCCCATCCTCTCATGAACGATGTTCCAGGCTGATGCAGGCAGCTGCCAAACCCAAAAGGGGGTGATACTAGAAGAGAATTACCCCTTTAAGGGAGCTATTTTATGGGAAGAATGAGTACAAATGAACCCAATTTTCCTCTAAGAAGCTGAAGCAAGACTCTGTAAACTTGTATCCCACACTGAAGGTATAGTATTCCTTACAGCAGGTCCCTAATGTAGCACCCCAGGGGACCTCCAGTGGTACCCATGAAAGCGTCCTCAATGTCTTGTCAAACAGCAACTGCAAAACTTTTAAAAATCTGCTCTTTTAAATTTATGTACATAGATTTTATATATATATATCCATAGCGACTCATCTATATAAATGCATATACTGTAACTACCTAGCAATTATACATAAGCTTCAATTAAAAAAACCTGACTGAATACCCAAATAAGTAACCATTTGAAGATAGCATCCGTATGCCACCCATTCAAATACTGAAAGCACTGTGTATTCAAATCCACTGTATTATAGAAGGTGCATACTTATCTTATTTTTATTGTGAATTTCAAGATCAAAACTAAAACCCAAACTACAACAACAAAAGGGCAAAATAAAAATAAAAGAGTGCAGTTTTCTTAGAAGTTATCTAAGTAAATGTATTACAATGAATACATATATATTCTGTAGCCCTATATATTTATATCCTTATGTATGTATTTCATTTTTATATTGCCCAATAGCTGAGGCTCTATGTATAGCAAATATGCTACTATTATTGGAGATAATTATACATAGACTTTAACAAAGGCAGCCCAAATGCCTACATATTCCTTCATTTGTAAATTACAACTAAAATACACCCATTGAAAAATCAAAAGTTTCATCAAGTCCTCCACCCACTGCATTATTGTAGGTGGATGTTTATCCTTCCAATGTTGTGATATTCGTCTTCTAGCTGCACAAACAACAGAAAATCTGTTTATGCTTGACCTTGCATTAAGTTTCAGTTGCATTAAGGCAGGCAGATAGTTAAACATGAGTATCCATAAATGTTAAAGATTTTTCCATCACATAATGTATTCAAAGGAAGCAGTCAATGGGCACTGCCAAAAGTAAGAGAAGTGTTCGCTATATTGTGCCTCTAGCAACTGGCCATGGTGATTAAGCCCGTGTTGAAAAGACGCTGTGGCATTCAATATACTTGAAACTTCACTGCCCAGCAGGAAGACCTGGGGTAAAACTTTTAGCTCTGCCCTGTGCTTTTCTGCTACTACTTTTCTGCTATGCCAGGTTCTCCTTTTTCCCTCTGTCTCTGCTTCGATTTGTACTGCACAATAGGCTTTTCTGATAAATGCCTGGGAGGAGTTTCTGAGTGTCACCTGAAAAGGAACGAAGAGGCTCCTATCAGGGTAGCTTTGGACTGAAGAAAGTACTGTGTTGGTGGGCTGACATGCCAGGTGAGGAGGAGGGCTTTTAGATGCAATATGATGCGAAATGTCTACGTTTTTTCACAGGTCTGCTTTTTATTGAAATTGCTTTAGTTGTTCAAACTGTTTAAAGCTTGTTTATTGACATTTCACACTGTATCTTATTGGATTTTTACTCTCTCTCTTTTTATCATTGTACCTATGATTATGAACTGCTGTGAATCACCAGAGAGCTCCAGCTATTGAGCAGTATGGAAATGAAAATAACAATAACAGCATTTTCAGAGATGAACCCAGCTGGAGGACTAGCTTCAGTGGGTTTGGCTAGCACCAGAAAGGAAAGTGAACATAGAAAAGGTTTATGCTAGCTTGACAAAAAATGGTGGTCCATCTATTACTGAGTCTCCAACCATGGCAATACCTGAAGCTGATGTATCGGAGATGTCCCTTATTTCTTGATGTTCACGCTCAACTTTCAGACCTCAGAGGTTAATGGGGTCTATTTATATTCCATAGATTTTTTCAAGGTATAGTCTGAAAGTACATGATGCAACAGCCTTGCTGAAGCTAAGCAGCTCCATGTTTCTTTAATGCCTGGAATGAGAAATTGCCTGGGAAGATACACTCTGGATGCTTTCTTGAGTTCCATCAGAGAAGAAGGGCAAGGAACCTGTTTAAATCAAATATGGGGAATTTGTGGCCTTCCAGAATGGGTTTTTTCCTTTTTGGCTGACAACTCCCATCAGCCCTCGCTAACATAGGCAGTGCTGAGGAATGATGGGAGTTGTAGGCCAAAACATATGGCAGGCCACTGGTCCCCCACCCAATCTAACCTCTCATCTAGCTAGCTAGTTTTTAAAACACCTTCTGACAGACAGGGTGTACTCTTATAAGGATTCGGATGCCAGTTTCCTTGGCCTGTTGAAGCAGGATTTTGTTCCTCCTTGAAAGCCAGTTGGATATACTGGATAGAAAGTTGGAATGGGGCCTTTGGTCCAGATCCCTGGACAGCATACAACTCACATGTTGCTTCCCAGCAGAAATGCCTGATATGTGTCAGCATTTTGCCACTTACCCTGGAGGTTCCATATAACCTGGAGGAAGGGTAGGATACAAATGTGAGAAAAAGAAATACTTGACTCTGCAATACTAACACATTTGATCAGGAGCGCTGCAGTGTCGAAAGTTAGTAGCAGTCTCCAACTAAAATCAGACTTGACCTGATGCTGCAAAAAACAAAACCAAGTACACCCAAAGAGCCACGTCGCAAAAGAAGAAGAGAGGAGATACGCTGCAGTAAGAGGCTCTCTTTGAAAAAGGTGGGGTGTGGGCAGAGAGCCGTCTATTTCCAACCGAGAGATACTTAAGAGTCCTGGATGCTGCAGGGTTCACTTAGAACAAAATGCATTAAGGATGTACAAAAGTTGCTGGCTAGCCATTCGAGCTCCACGTGGCCGCCAGAGGCCTCGCTAGTTCTATTAATATGCCTGAATTATATAATGTTTTTCTGTGGAAAGGCGGGGGGGGGGAGTCCTGCAAAGTTTTTGTGTAACAAACTTAAAGAACCATTCAAACACCCTCTGTTACATCAGGACTCACTTCACCCATCTCTTAGGATACTGCATGCAAACTTTTTGCTTGAATGCAGAAGTCCAGTAACAAAATCTAGCTGTAAAACTAGACTTTCTCATTTCTACTTGGCAGTACATATTTCATGACATGTATCACCTCACAAAACCAGATACAAAGGAAACTGGGATCGCATACCTTTCATAGTTGTGCAAATAGCTGTGCTTTTCTGAGCCTTGCAAGGCAGAGTGCACCTGCTGCAAAAAACAACACTTTCCCCTTATGGACTACAATTATCCTTTGCTTTTGGTCATCCAAATACCACCCCTCTGAGCCTCACTAAGAAGAAATGGTTCCATACTCCTGCTGGGACTCTGCTTGAGTACTAGTCTCTAGCTTTCGAGCATCACCCTCAAAGTGTGTGGCTGAACAACTTTGGCACCTTTTTCTTTGTCAGGACTGCTGTTGCTTAAATTTTTAAAAAGGGATGTGGAACCTCTGGACTGCAGGCCTGCAGAGATTCCCCAGGAGGCTCATAAAGGCTGGAGAGGCTGCATCCTTCTCTCCCAGCAGTAGAGAAAGGCAGGATTTCTCCAGTGCGGGGAGAAGAAACTCCTCTCTTATCTCCAGTCACTGATCCAGGACAACAACCTGCCTTTCCCTATTGAGTGTCAATGCAGTGTCCTGGTTAAGAGGGCAGGACTGGGACTCAGGCGATCTGGGCTCTAGTCCCTGCTTAGCCATGGAGCCCACTTGGTGATTCTGGGCCAGTCACAGACTCTCAACCCAGCCTACCTCACAGGGTTGTTGTTGTGGGGGATAAGATGGGGGAGGAGAATGATGGAAGCTGCTCTGAGTTCATTGAAAGAAAAAAGCAGGATCAAATTTAAAAAAAAAAAGAAATTGCAGAAGTAGGGTGTACCTTTTTCTCTGTACAAAGAGGCATGACATGGTTACCTCTGTGGTTTTTCTTGCATGGAGAAACTACTGCATAACACCTGTGCCTTCCTTTGCTTGGAAAAAGTATGCTAGGATATCGGGGTATGGCTTACGGGGAGGTCAGATCCCCTGATGTCATCTGGCTCCTGGGGGTAGTCCAGAGAGAAATCCAGCCCTTCAGGGGCTAAACCATTCCCCACCCCTGCTTTGAAAACTGCCCAATGGGCAAAAATTCAACTACGGGATCTTTTTCTTAATACCTCTATGAACAACTATGGCACATACAGGAGCCCACTGCATCTGGAAAGCTTATTTTAGGGCTCTTGTGTGTCAACTGTTGTGATTTTCCATCAAGGTGCTACAGCACAGGGGCAAGGTGTGCCTAACGAAGTGCTTTCTCCTACGCAAATAAAGTGCGGGAGGGTCACAGGTGCTCACATCTGGTGTGTTCCTGGAGCTGAGGCGTGGTGAGCGTGGGTTCCACTTCTGCCAAGGCTGTTCCTGAGGGCAGTCTTGTGGCAGCCCTGCTGCAGCCAGCGTTGCTGGACAAGCCCACTTCCTCAATGGGAGATCTCTCGCTAGCCCTTCGTGGACTCCTAGGCAGATAATAAATCAGAGGCTGCAAAGGTGCAATCTGGTAAATGTGGCCTTTCTTGGGAAAGGAGGACCATAGCTCAGGATTAACATGCATGCTTTGGATGCAGAAATTAACATTCAGCCCCCTGGCATCTCCAGAATTAATTTTATTGTAATGATCAAGATGGGTTGTTTGTTTGTTGAATCAGGCACCTGAGATCCTAAGGAATTGCTGCCGGTGTGAATAGATGAATGGACAAAACATCTGACCCTCTATCAGGCAGCTTCCTACATTTCCAAAGTAGCCCATTGACCTGTGCCTTTAACAACTACAAATTGTCCTTGCATGAAGATAAACCAGGCAAGGTTTAAGATTCTGGAACTAGTGTACAAAGTCTTAAACAACTTGGACCAGGATGCCTTTGACAGCATCTTTTCCCTTCTCAGCCTGCCGAGTTGCTGGCATCATTCTCCTGGTGGCTCCTGAAGAGCCATTGGCTCAACCTGAGTGCACACAAAGAACCTTCCATGTGGTGGCCTCCATTCTGTGAAACTCCCTGTGTCTGCAGGTCAGACAGGAACCAACATTGTGCTGTTTCTGGTACCTCCTGAAAACATCTGTATCTCAAGATGGCTTTTGACTGAGCAGCTGCACTTTTAAGGTCATCTTGGTTTTAATGCATTGTTTTTATTCTTTTATCTGTTTTATTGTTCATTGCACTGGAATTTCTTTAGCTACAGTGTGGTATAAAATGCTGTATACATAACTAAATAAAACGAGGGAGAAAAGAATTCATCTTCTTGGCATCTGCATGTCAAGCTGCTTTTAAAGGGACAACAGCAGGGCAAATGAAGAAATGTGGACACTTTGCCTTTTATTTCCCCCCAGCCCACCCCCAACTGGCTTGCTACATGAGCTCTGGCAAACGTTGTACATAATGCTTCCCCTTCTCTGAAAAGAGGGATAATGCCTCCCCTTGGCTTGTGGACATGAAATGTAAGGATTAAAGATTGTTTATTAAGCATTAGAAGCATAATCCTCCTGAGTCAATAAGTTTGTGGTTGTAAAATGGGGCTTCAAGAGGCAGCAGGAAAGGAGGGCAAGGAAATGCAACTCTCTGGCAGGAAAGGTGTGAGAATGTATAAACTGAGAGTGGGGAGAAGGAACAGGTGGTGGGCTGGCCAGTAGGAAGGGGCTTTCTCACCTGGGAGGTTTTTCAGGCCATCGGTCTGCTGCACTGGTGTTGGAGTGCACAACCCGTGTGCCCAGTCATAAAGCTCATGAGACACTAACTCTCTGCCCAAACTATTTCAAAGGGTTGATGCCAGCACAAAATTGAAGACTCTTCATGTGTACTATCCCAAGAGTCACAGGAAATGAGGGAAAGACTATAATAAATCAAACTTTCCCCATTTATTGCTAGTACAACATCCATTGTAAATAGCACCATGCCAACTTTAAAAAAAATAGTTCAAAATGTTTGTTCTCTTCTCCATAAAGATGATATGAGTTATTGAAAGTGATCCTTGCCGAGTGCCACATCTGTAGCAATAGGATCCTGGGATTAGGGTTACCAACTGGGGGAAAAAACCAAAGAAACAAAAACAAAAAAGCAAAGACGACAGAGCCTGGCCTGTTCTTACCACTTCAATGGCAGAAATACAGCAGTGGTGAATTTTTAAAAGCAGAATCTCGCACTCAGAGTTACAGATCACACTATTGTTGATGGGCCAGCTAGAGGGAAAGAATTCAAGCCACTAGGGTTTGATAATTGCATCAAGTGCCGAGCTTCTTCAAACAGTATGGAAAGCACTTAAGATGTACGTGTTTCAGCCTCTCTTGCTTTATGTTCTGTTTTCTTCCCAAATTAGTCAATTAATCATTTTATTTTAATCAGCTAATTGGCTAGTCACAAACACAGCTCTTTATAAGCTGCTTTAGAGATGTGCTCCAGGCTTAGCTAGGAGCCTTGGAGCTGGCTTATAGAGTTGTTCTAAATACTTAGAAATCATGGAAGTTGAAACCAATGTATTATGTCATTTTGTGTATCTCTGTGGGTTAGATACTTTAGTATTTTAGCCTAATTTTTTCTCTGTTACTATGACACTCAGTTTAAAACAAAAGGAAAACTGGGATTCTCTGGATTCCTAATAAGAACCAAAAGCCCCAGGGCTGATAAGCTTGGAAGCTTCTTGGAAACAGTTTTATGTGTAAGACGAGCATGCCACCCTTTGTTCATTTCTAACAGAGATCCCAGAAGAGTGATGGGCAGAGCAGGCGGAGTGTGGTGAGGGGCTTTGGCAGATCTGCGGATGAGTCCAAAGCCCTGCTGGTTGGCTGCTGCCAGGGTGGAAGCTGGTGGGGGGCAGCCTTTCCTTACCTCTCCCCCCACCCCGTTCTCCCCATTTTCCCCTTCACACTGATGGCAAAGGGAAGGAAGTGACTGTGCTGGCTCTAAAGCTAGCGTCGTTTAATGCCTCTTTGGGTGGATTTCCAGGGACAAGGCAGCTTAGGGTGCTGCAGATCCATGGCCTCTTTTGGCATGCCCTGAAAATGTTTGGGGGCCACCATATTTCGAGCACTGTGGGCATAACAGCAACGGCAGAAGAGCTTACTGCCGCTGCCTGGGGAGACCTCCATGCATAGACCTCATCCACAGAAGTGCACAGTATGCAAAGGCCCTTCCATTGCCTTCCCCGGGAGGGGGGCTCCCTTAAGCAATAGCCAAGTGTTGCCCGAATGTCACGTAAAATGTTACCACACTCCAGATGACCACATTCTCCAAGTTTGCCCACCTCAATGAAATATGGGAGATCAGATGCAAACTACGGCGGCCCTAAGGTGCTGGTATGAAATGGAACGCTGTGGAAGGATGGCAGAAAGAGGGGGCTCTTGCTCTTATCCTGTCTCAGAGAGTGAAATCCAGAGCACACCCTGTGAGTTTGTAAGTTGCATGCAGCACTTAGACACTCTCAGCATCACCGACTGAGGACCCCAGCCAGACTTCCCCTTGCCAGCTAGCAAGCTAAATCCTTAGCTTCTCTCCAGTATCTCCTAAGAGACTGGAAGGAACCGTGCTCCTCGCTTCTGCTAGGGAAGCCTGTCTGATATCTCCAGTAGAGAGAAAGGAAGTATTTCCCTTGCTAGGGCTTGTGCTACAGTTAGCTGGGGAAAACCTGGGAATTCCCTTGCCAGAAAGAAGCAGCAAAGCCCTTCCTTTATCTCTGAGCCACCCTAAGAGACCGGTAATAAGGGACCTATTTCCCTTGCTAGTGCTAGGTAAGCCACCCCAGATTTCTTGGGCCTAGACATTGCACAGCCTCACAAAACTTCTGGCAACTGTATGGATATGTCTTCTGCCTATTAGGATCCAAGCTTAGCAAATCCCCAGTTTTCCCTATCCACACAGTTTAGAATCACCCTTTTCTTGCCTTTCTTATTAGGGCCCCCTGGCAAGCATAGTGTGTGGAGAGTCCTACACATTCCAGGGACTGCTAGTCCTTCTTCTCTGTTCCTTGGGACTGGGAAGAATGCGCAGGAGGAGGTGGGAGCCACCCGCTTTGAGTCTTAGCTGCTTGGGGTCAGGCAGCTAATCCTCAGCCTTCTTCCCACGAGGGTTGTGACAGCACCCAGCCCGGCCTCACCCAAGCCTGCATTTATAGACGGTGACAGCCTTGCGCTAGGTCTTCATCCGTGTTCAGGACTGTCCTCTGTCTGGGCTCAGACTCTCCAGCTCACACACAAAAAAGCAGGCTTCCACCAGGCAGGACTGGGGATACTTAAGAGGGAGCTGTATAATCCTTCTTCTCTCCCATCTGGATTTCTGCAACCTCTGCCAGGAGGTGAGAACTGGAAACATAAGGTGAAGGGCTCCCTGGCCTTTCACATTTGTTGCTGGGTCAGAGAAGATGCCTGGAGAGGATGTGTAGAATTTGCCATGCTCTTACCATAAGCCCCGGAGTTCTTTTCTAGCCTCTGACATTGCATCAGAACGGCTGATTGCTAGGAAAATAAGCTGAAATATCAGCTGGGTTGAGGGAATTTGGGTCCACACAGAGGAAACAAAGCCTATTTTCATATCAAAAGCTTTAAGCATTACTTTCATATTGAAGTAATACTCAAAGATGTATCTGAACTTCTATTTCAGTTTATAACAGTTAATTTTGGAAATGCTTTATATTTTTCAAAGAGCAAATAAAAAAGACAGAATGAAGGAACATTATCTGAATGAATGACTCTCCATCTGATTAGAAGAGTTAGTAATCCTAATGAGAACAATTAAAAATTAAGCAAAAACAAAATTAATTTACAGAGCTGAGAGTGCATCCAAAGTCCTAAAGATTAATTCACAGAGCACGAAAGGTTAATTTACAGAGCCTACTCCAAACTAACAACCTAAAATATTTTTTTTAAATTATGAAAATATTTGTATACCAAATATTCATGTGTGGAAAGAAAGAAAGAAAGAAAGAAAGAAAGAAAGAAAGAAAGAAAGAAAGAAAAGGCAAACAATTGAGAGCTGCTCCAGTGTGCTGTTTGTGCACTTTAGATACAATAAATAAGTAAGAATGCCTTTCTTCCTTTTCCAGTCTTACATTAACAACACTAAAAAGTGATGGCCTCCCGACTAGATTATGTTCTTTACATCAGTTGTGAAGGCTTTCAAATCTTTCCCTGCCCTCGTTAGGGATCCCAGGACTTACCATCTTCTGCTTCAGGTTCCTTCACCACTAGTTTTTCATTTTCTGATTCTTGATCTTCTTCCTGGAACAGAGGAATTAAACATTAAAACTGCTGGAAAGCTATTGGCAATAAGACTTCCCTACAAAATAAACCAAGCAATATGAGAAATCACAAGGGAATGATATCCATAATACCTCAAAAATAGAATTTTAGTTGGATCTCATGGAAAAGTACCCCGTATTATTAAATAAACCCTGAATTCAGATAAACTTTCCTCTCTGCTGCTCTTCTGCGTAACAGGAGCCCAGAGATACAATTTAAAAGCTTATTCATCTATAGAATCTAATTTAAACAAAGCCTGAAGGCACAGTTACTATTTCTCAAAGCAGGACAAGAGCAAAGGCTAGACATAAGATTTTTAGAAGTGATAAATTGTGTATGTGTGTTTTAAACATTTTAGCCCTGTATTTATGCACATGGAAACTAGAAAGTCTTTCACATTGCCTCTTAAATGGCTCTCTTCTGTAAGAGGACTACAAAACCTTGATTGGCTAGTGAGTGCATACAATTTGAAAATAACTCATGTGTCCATTTCCTATCATGAATAAGCCTCATGCACACATACATGCAATGCACACACAAATATCTTAAGAGAAGATGGGAGTTTGATTCTTTCCTGGTGGCAGCTTCTCTGCATTTTAAAAGGGGAAGTAGCAATTTCATATATGCAAGCACTACTGGAGTAAAGTGGAAAATGTCACTTGTAAGGAATGATGAATCTTAGACTTAACTTTCCGATTGTACACATTTGGACCCATTCCTTCCATCTTTGCCTATGCCCACATCCTTAAGAAAAAAAATTGATATTTACAGTAAAGTACCTCTGAGTGTATGCAGAGTGATTTCCCTTACCACTATGCAACTGTAGCATGATCCTATATTCTATAGCATAAAAGAGCATGGCTTCCTTCCAGGTCAGAAGGCAGGTGTTTCCATAAAGACCCGAGCCCTGCATGTCACTTTTTTAAAAATATGAACTTCCTGTGTCTCTTTTGACAAAGCACCACAAAAATTCTCCTGTTTTTTATTTTTTAAATTTAAACTGCCTGGGAATCTAGATGATCCACTCTAGCATGTTTCCTATTCCTGAATTAGGTGAGACATCATCCTTCTTTACCACTGAAACAACTCTGTCCATGGCATGTTGATCCCTTTGGTGTAACACTCATCACTTGGCCTCTGTGTGCTCTGCAGACCAAACAAGGAACTCGCTTGGCTGTGAAGGGAAGGGCTGCAGTGGGCGCAGCTCGGTGGCGTCACGCACAGAAAGTCCTGCGTTGCGCTTCCACCAGTTCCAAGCAGGGCTGGATGGGAAAGACCCCTGGCTGGAATGCTGGAGACACACTGCTCACCCAGGTAAATCTGCCTTCCCCAATGTGGCATCCTCCAGATGTGTTGGAATACAGCTCCCATTATCCCCAGCCAGCATAGCCAATGGCCATGTCCAACACTTCTGCAGGGTACCAGCTTGGGAAAGGCTGGTTGACAGCACTGAACTAGTCAGTGGAGAGCCAGTGTGGTGCGCTTAAGGATGCTGGACGGGGACTCAGGAGATCCAGGTTCTAGTCCCTGCTCAGCCATGAAACCCACTGGGCGGATTTAGGGCCAGTTATGGGCTCTCAGCCTAACCTGCCTCACGGGGTGTTGCTGTGAGGTCAAATCGACAGGAGAACCACCCTCTACCCTGCCTGGCTTCCTTATGAGGGGAGGAAAGGTAGGATACAAATGCAGTGCAGTACAATAATCTTCCTATGCATCTATCAAAAAACCCTAATGAAGGTGATACGCTGGTGCTCCTTCTCTCCCACTCTGAAGCACATTAAAAAATGTGCAGTCCTAGGCATGTTTTTAAGGGTGCAGTCCTAGGCATGTTGAAACAGAAAAAGCCCTATAACTTACAGCATACTCCAGTCAGACTCCCCACCCTCCTTAAACATGCAGAGAATTATGTCCTAAAATATTCAATGGCTGTTGGGGCAGATATTGTGAACAGCAAAGAGAGCCCAAGTATGGGTTACTGTAGTGGCATATTAATTCATTAAATAACTACATGCACACATGTGCATGAGGACACCAAACAGCATCCTAAACACCTGATCCTATCACTTTGGTTTTGAGCTGAGAAAAAGCAGGAATTCTCCAAATGTTTCCTTGCTCATCTTCTCATTACCATATTCTAGGGATAACCCATAAACCGCAGGCTAAGTGTACTGCAAGGCACTGTGTTGTCCCCCAGGTGACTCTGTCTGAGGTCTCATTAATTTTAATGGGTCCCCTTTGAGCAGGACCAATATTGAGAACAGCCACCCCACTTCCCTGGGCCTGCACAGGTGACCAGCGTGTCATCCCAGCATCCTGGACAACCGCACACACAGCCCAGTTCCACCGCTGCTGGTCTAAGGGTGTTTCCAGGCAAGGCTTTTTCCTGGAATTGCCTGGATTTTTTCTGGGATTCCTATTTCATTGTTTTCCTTTTGTAACTGTCCAGAGTTCTCTCACTGCTTTTTTTCACTTTTTTCTTCCTGGGGCAGGAGGGAAGGAGGAAAAGGCAAAGTAGCTTCGTAATGCCTTTTCATTGCTAGCGCTTGAAATCCTCCATTTGGAAGCATCTTCAATGTGTAAGAATCATTCGTGGAATGGCAAACCCCCATAAGAATCGATAATTTCCCATGTAGCCTAGGTGGGGAACTTCTTTCAGCCTGAAGGCAGGATTCAATTACACAGAAGCCCTCAGGGATGGCATCCCAGTGGTGGGTGGGGCCGAATGCAAAAGGGTCGGGCCCAAAATACAAAAAACTGCCCACATATTGTAAAGTTTTCTTATTGCCAATAATGCAGCCCTTGCAGGATGAGGCATTTCCTTCTTTCAGAATAAGGAAGAAATGGTGCAAGGCTAGGAAAGCGCCAGTGGGTTGGGAAAAGGGCTGTGGCTGCCTTTGAGGCACCTGAAGGGCTGGACTGGAACTGAAGGAGGGCCGGATTCGCTCTCCAGCCCTAAACTACCCCACCCATGCTGGTAAAGATGGTCCAGACACTTCAATTGGTTCAGAATAGAGCTGCCAGGTTATTAACAGGGACCAGCAGATACTCCCATATCACACCGGCCCTGTATTTTTTACACTGGCTGCCAGTTGAAGTCTGGGCCCAATTTAAGGTGTTGATAATGACCTATAAGGCCCTAAACAGGTTGGGTCCAGGATACCTGAAGGAATGCCTTCTTCCCTATGGGCCCTCCCTCCCCTTGAGATTGGAGGCAGAGGTCCTTCTCCCAGAGCCCTCTTTGAAGGAAATCGGGAGAAAGGCCTTTTCAGTGGTGGCACCCTGACTGTGAAACACACTCCCCAGGGAGGTTCATCTGGCACCATCATGTTATTCTTTTCGGTGTCAGGCGAAGACCTTTTTATTTTCCCGGTATTTAAACAATCAATTGGTTTTATCCTTGTTTTCATCATCATTCATTGGATGCAGTGTGTTGTTTATTGTTGTAGTTATGGTTTCTTTGTTCATTGGTTCTTCTTTGTAAGCCATCCAGAGAGTTTTAGTAATGGTACAGCATATATAAACTTTAGAGAGAGAGAGAGAGAGAGGGAGGGAGGGAGGGAGGGAGGGAGAATCTATACCACAAATGTAGCTGGAAAAGTCATTCTTCCCAAGAAACCTGGCAAGTACAACTGTTGGCCCTCTCTGCCCATCAAAGGCAGCTATGTGTGCATGCACACACTGGCTCACACTTACTTTTCCATTAGCACTCAGGTGCTGGAATGCATGACAAAGCACCAGGCAGCATACCACATCCCCTCGCTGTGCCTCCGCATCCCTGGAGAGGAGGGGAACAGCTAGTCAGCCTTCCAGTGGTGGGTGGGCCCGTCTCCTTCCCAGCCCTTCTCATTCCCCATGTTTGATTCAAAGGGACAGCACCTTCACAGCTGCTAACAATGGCTATATTTGTCGAGGGCGGTGTGTATGGAGGAAGAGCCAGGAAAAGCTGCCAGCCTCGATTAGGAGACGTAATCGAGGCAGAGAAGAAGGAAGGGGAGCTAACACAGACAGCAGGCCCATGCCTTTATTGGAATACAGGAGAAGGAAGGATGGCGGGGAGAAAGAGCAGGAGTGCTAGCTCTGCAGGAAAGGCCTTGGGAATTCAAAGAGCTGCTTGGTAGAAACCAGGAATTCGTTGTGTCACCCACAGGCCAGATCTGGGCAGGCAGCATCACCAGTGGGGAATGCGCATTATTCATCATCAGCTTTTTTGGGCACATCCAGCATTCCTGACTCACCAACCGGACATTCCCCCCTCCTCGCATTTCCACCTCACACACACACACACACACACACACACACACACACACACACACACACACAATCTATCTGAGTTCATGCTTCCAAAAATGGAAGCTCCTTTCACTTCTTCATTCATCTCTTTTGCAGCCCATATTTGGGGGAGAGGAAATGCAAGTAACCAGTAAGCTGGGTCTTTATGAATGCATCGTTCTGGGAAGAATGCCAGAGGCAAGATGGTTTGGCTCCTGCATAGTAAGGGATACACCAGACCAAAAGAAATGCTCCCTCCGTGCATGGAGGCTGTTACTATGATGTTTCTGCAGGAGCCTCTCAGTGTTTCACCCATCATTCAGATGATAGTCGTTTGCCTGTGCCCAGCCTGTAAGACAGCTTTCCCCAACCTGGTGTCATCCAGATGTGTTGGGCTACAACTCCTATCATCCCCAGTCAGCATGGCTACAAATTGTAAGCTAAGTATTTTTCCAAACAGTGGGTTGGATGCAATGTTAAAGGTAAAGGTTTCCCCTTGACGTTAAGTTCAGTCATGCCTGACTCTAGGGAGCGGTGCTCATCTCCGTTTCCTAGCCGAGGGAGCCAGCGTTTGTCCGCAGACAGTCTCCGTGCTCATGGGGCCGGCATGACTGAACACCGCTGTTGCCTTCCTGTTGCCGGCATGACTGAACACCGCTGTTATCTACTCGCATTTAGATGCTTTCAAACTGCAAGGATGCAATGTTAGT